CCAGAACCCGTTTTACTTATTTAGGTCCCCACAGTACGTCAAGCAGAAAAGCCCATCCTGAGAAGTAACAGCATCAAAGAAAAAGAGGACCACGAGTTGGAAAAGGACCTCCTTCACAGAAAGCGGAAGGACACCAAACCTTGAAGGCCTTACGTTCGAAACCACCAAATGTAGTAGGCAAAACACATGTGTCGGGGATGAAAATGCGATACATTCCAAAACCAAACCTTTTCTCTTCTCTTTTTTTTTGCGGGAGGGGGGACCTATTTTGATATGACAACCCCCACCTGAGGTTTCCGCAAAACGCCGAAACGCCGGGAGTTACGCGAGCGAGGGATGGATCGAGAGCTTCGAAGCGCCTGATCCGCGGGAGCCATGGCCGCTGGCAGGGCGGGGCGTGGAGAAGGTGTCCTCCCTGATCCCGTTGAAGCACCTGGGAAGGATTCGGCCAGTTTTTGGAAAAATGCATACATAAATAAGTATAATGTATATATGTATATATAATACATATATGTATAATATATACATATATACATATATATATATATAATAATAATAGATCCGTAACATATATATATATATATTATGCAAACCTGCATGGAGCCCCCATTTAACAACATATCTGCAAACCAGCCTGGAATCCCCTACCATTTAAACCCGAACCATAGACCTAAAGGTCGCTTTCCATCATTCTGTTCCACAAACTGAAATGCGGGATTCCAGGTCACAACCTTCATGGCTCGCTGTACGGTTTCCAGCAATCATGGAGGTGGACAGGAGGTGAAGAGGACTGTAGTCTTTAGCCCTCTCAGCTTTCATTGGAAGAAAAGAGTTGTGCGGAATATCCTGACACACTTACTGTACCCTGGCTTGGATCGCGGCTTGATATAAGAGGCCAAATAAATCTGACATACGAGTTTTGCTGGATAACACACGTTGGGCGTAAAATACCTAAGTGACCAACGGACTGTATTTCTGGAGTCGGGCGCAGCAAGCTCTCTGCCATCCTACATCCCCGTCTGTGGATGAGCCGCAACAGCGAAGCTGGCCCCATACACTTGATCAGTCGCATGTAGATTCTATCCTGACACTACCTTGGCCCAAATCCGCGGTACACAGACATGATACACCATCCCACCAGCTAACACGGAACCTGACAGGGGGTGCCTTTAAACGGAAATTGGCTTCCAGGACCCCCTGTCAGGCTCAAGTTAATTGGTGGGATGGCAATATGTTCAGAGTCTGTTCCATACTCGGTCTACCAAAAATATGTTCACATGTTTGGAGGAAGCCCCTGCTTGTGTCCATGGTTCCCTGGTGACATCCTGGACCCCTCTCAGAATCACAAGGCGCAGAGACAGCAAAGATGATGCCAGGGATCTTGTCAATATCAAAGATGGCCCTGCATCTAAACCAGTGGAACCCATCTATGTCTAATCGACTATGGTCGTGATGGTTCAACATGTGGGAGTGAAATTCAAATAGTAAGGGTCTTTTGGAGGACATCAAAAATTCGGTTGGGAGTTTTGGTCCACCAACCACTTTTGAGGTGGTGCCATCTCTTTAAATCTGCGTAGCCACATGGGTATATAACTTCTTGAGGCTATCTCTCTTTGATTGTTCAAAACGGAAATCAAGAGGGAAATCAAGGCATCTGGGTCCCCAGAGTTTTAAGACCCATGCCCCACCGACAGCGACTTCCTGTTCGGATCGAGGGGCTCTTCGTTGATCCGGGAGAAGTCTGGAAAGCTCGAGAAGGCGGCGCTAGGCGCCTCCTGGCTCTCGGCGAAGGATGGACTGAGCCACAAGACAAAGGATCTCTTCTCAAGACATAGGCAGTTGTGGGTTGGAAGGGGGTAGAGGCGTTCTTTAGCCGGTATGGAGGTGGGTCTTTTTGTTTGCCTTTTGGGCTGGTGTTCCGTTCGACGCTGCCTTAAACAATCCTCAGGATCTTCCTGAAGTAGGAGCCAGCAGCTCCGAACGGCTCTTCCCAACAAAGAACTGCCCCGGTTCCCTGGCAGCTCCGAATCGGAGAAATCCCGCCCAAGTCCAGGAAGGCCCTGGAAGTAAGTGAGAAGCAAGGCTGCCGTGCAAGGCCGTGGCTCATCGGATATTGCTTGTGTGTGGGTTTTTAAGGAACTCAAGTGGTGGGTTTCCTTTTGGTGTTTAATAATAATAATAAAAAGGTTCCCAAAACACACAAACCACCGCTGGGAATGACTCTTAATTGGAGGCTTTCTGGTGCACAGCATTTGGGGATGTATGTCTAATCATGTCGAGAGGGAAAAGGTTCCCCAGTAAAATTCAAACAAGCTTCTGAACTTCTGTTGGTGGCAGGGTCTTAAGCGGGTACCGTCAGAACTTCAAATTTTGTAGCCCTAGACCCTAGACTTCAATGTGCGTGGCTCCAAAATAGGGGTCCAACGCGGAACCCTGGCAAGCCAATCATCACGGCCTTTTCCGAGAATCACCCGGCCTTGGCCAAGGGAACTCGCTCCCGGCCGGCCGGCATCACGAAAAATCGGCGGTACACACCGCGAGCGCCGAGGTTGAGGGAGCGACAAAACACGAGTCTCCAGTTGCAAGTTTGGTTCAAAAACATGCATATACGTATCCATATTTGATTCATGAATCCGTAATGTGTGTGCAAATGCCCTGATTGTCGCGAGCTGCCAACAGGTTGCGTCTCTGTGTGTGTGTGTGTGCAGATGCCATGTGTGTCTGTGTAATGTGTGGGGTTGCGTGGTGTGCAATCAGTGCTGGTTGAATGTGAGCCTAGGCAAATTCCGAAAGACCACCTTTGGGCCTGCGCGGGAGGAGCGAATTCATGAGAATTCGCAAATGCATCGCATGTGAGTCGGTTGGGGAGGGAAGACATGGCGGGACAACCCAACTTCCCGTGCAAATACCAGAACATGACCCCAGTTTCGTATATTATGTTCAGAATCGTGTGTCATTTTGTCCATGCTCACGCAAGGGCAGTGTGGTTTCAGCTGGGCGAACATTGGCTGGTTGCCTCGGATTTGGCTAGTGGGATTTCAGTGCAAAAACGACAAGCTGTGCCATTGCAGAAGTCTGGGACGGGACACCAACAGATCAAACGCTCGGCGTTTGATGCGATTACGTTGAAGAGACTCCAGCAAACTGGCCAGTTTTAACCTGGACAAAGCACGCATGCTCCGTAATGGGAGTTTCTTTTGGAGGGACCTGTCCTCATTCTCATTCTAAACGGAAATTATCCTTTTCGAGAGGTTCCCTCCCATTCTAAGACTCGAAAACCTGTCTGGGCGAACATTGAAACCCTTGCTGGAATTGATGAATCCTACAGCATCCGCAGGCACCATGGAACACAGCCCGATAGGGTACGGTCACAGCTCGCTGAGGAGTTTTAACTGATATCCACTTCAAGGACTAGGTCCTCCAGTGGAGGTTGGAATAAGGGTACCCTTTTTTTCTGTATTCTATTTTAGTAGGGGACCCCTCCCCAAAAAAAGAAACGGTAAACGGGCCTACAGGAATAACCATCCCCAGTGCACCCAAGCTTTGGCAGATCTTTCCCTACATGATCTCTCATTCTGGCCAATTGCGCATGAACTCGTGGAGTCTAGCCCCCCAACTTTAGACTCACTTGCTCAACAGCAAGTTCAAGGCAGCTCATGACCAAACTCTCAAAGAAACACAGAAACCGTGCAAGGGAACGCCCCCAGAAACCATGCAAGGGAACGCATGGATTGTGCCTCCAATTTTGGCGGAAGATTACCCAACCTGGTACCCGGTAAAGAAAAGGCGGACATGCAAAATCCCTGGCAGGAGAAGAGTTGATGCCCTGAGCTTTGCAAGGGTCAGCAATCACACCCTGTTAGCCGTACTTTGTGGTGAAGTTCAATTGTCGGATTGTAGCTAGGTCCTGCAGTAGAGAGACTACAATAAGGGCACCAACTTTTCTCTGTAGTCTATTTTAGTAGGGGAAGCCTCCCTCCAAAAAAGAAACGGTAAAAGGGCACTTCTGAGGGACCTACGTGGTCCCCCTTAACATCAGAGGCGCTTCAGGAACGGCTTTTCCATCTTCCTAGCCGGTGCTGCGAACCCATGGAATCGAATGGACACCTCATTGTTTGTGCACAGCATAAGCAACAAAGGCATGATCGCAAAACTCAATCCAAAAACCAGGGGGCATGATCTGGGATTAAGAGGGGGTGGCCCGGGGGGGTGGGGGGGGTCGTTCCCGAAGGCTCCCTAAGGAACCCAAAGGAACCTCTACACTGCGAATGACGCGTCTCTCAAACCTACGGTGTAGCCTAGGCAAGGAGCAAACATATACTACATACGGTTAATTTAATAGTATATACATATATACATATATATGTTTTTTCTTGAGGGGCCCTTTTTGTTGGTGGTTTTAAAAGGAAAACAAGCGAACATGTCACAATATATTTTTTCTTTTGGGGGGTCCCCTCAAAAAATACACACCCATACAGCCCATATACATCTATATGAACCATGGTCAAATGACTTGACAAGTTGTGTCTGTCTGTCAGCTTGACCGAGTCCCCTATGGCGTTCATTCAAGGCTTTGATATTCTGCAGGGGTATCGTGCAAGGGCATCGGTGTTTTAGACGAATCCCCAAGCGATTTCCATGCAGAATCTGCTTGATAATTGTGACCCCGCCTATTCACAAGAAGCTCGACCAGTTTCCAGATCACATGGCACAAGATCGGTCAACATCGTTCGCAACCCCTTTGTGAGGTCACGAGTTAAATTGCTCCGTATCCTCCAAATCAGGAACCCCAAACTTTGGGTTCACCCAACAAAAAGAGAAAATCAAAAACAACAAACACAGGAGACAACCCCCAAACAAATCCAACCCGGTTGTAACCCGGTAACGCATCGACCTCGAGCTTGGCTTTCCTTACCGAAGCCCGGCCTCGGGGCCTCGGGGCCTCGGGGAATGGGATCCCAGCCGACCCGAGCCGACGACGACGGCGTCGGGTCCCCGGCATAGCCCAGCGCCGCCAGGCACATGAGCATGGCGAAGCTGCCGCCCGCCCACTGCGCCTGCCGTGCGGAAAACAAATTGCCACCACAGGAGGAAGAAGAAGAAGCCTATATAAGAACAAGTAAAATAGATTTAAACGAAAAAGGAAGCACAAGGAAGGAAGGAGAAGAAGATGAAGACAACTCATGGGGAAATATCAGACGTTCAGATAGTTTGACGGCTCGATACTTGCTGTATCAAATTATGTTGTTCTTTGTTCCAGAATGGTTGTCTGCCACCAACAACTGGTTTGTGCTCGATTCCGCCCGCTGCACGTTGCCAGCCATGTAGCATCTGGATGTCTCTTTGGCATGCGCACAGAAAGGATGCATACATACTGAAAGCATCCAAGGGTGGAAAGGGCCAAAATCGATCATTTGCCCGTCATCACCAGCAATGGGAAGATAATGTTGACCCCTATCTAAATTATTTATTACAGGGGTGTCCTGCTTCCGGGAAACACCCCACTAATAGGATGGGCTTTGTAATCCGTGGTGAACATCAGCTTGCTTTCCGAGAATGTGCTCTGCCCGTTTGCCAGGTGCGCATTGTATCGAAACACTGGTGGATGCGTGGACTCCAAAGGTGATAATGCAAGATGCAAGCCACTGGACAAGTTGCTTTGGAGTATCCTTTCACAAACACGGAAGCGCAAAGACCCTTTTGGAAGACTGCCGTGTTGGACAGGTTTCCTTGCGCCCGTGTGACTGTCTCACAAGAAGAAACACGAAATCTGATAAGGAACGCCAAGGAGCCTAAATTGCTGGACCACCAAGCAAAGATCATAATGTACAGGCATGCTACAGCAGCTTTGCCAACTGAGCTTGTGACAACCTTTTTTGGCCTCGAGGCATCAGCACATGCCCGGCTGTGTTGCCTGCAGAAAACAACTGACCCCCTCGCCCCAGCGCCCCATGTTGCTATTTAAACGACACCAACATGACAACGAATATCATTAGAAGCAAAGTGGTGCCTCTTACCCGTCAAGCTATGTCCGTGTGTGTTCTAAAAGCCAAGCAAAGAAAGATGGCGGGCAGTCACAGACACGTCTCTTAAGCTCGGAGTTCTTATGCAAGGGTGCCTGTCTCAAAATACACAGCCTATTTGTTATTGTTGGATAGTTTAAGCCGACAGGAAACAAGCTACCTGGTGTTCTATTCAAGAACCGTCCATGCTAGATGAACCGCTGCCGGTCTGCAAAACACCCGCCTCCGCGTTGCACACACGGTCCTGGTCGCGCAACTTGAAAATCGCCGGTGTTGCCCGCAGGAGGATATGAGAAGATCGGGTTGTTGCCGTGGTTGTGCAATCTTGGGCTGAACGCTTGCGTCCTCCCCAAAGCAACAGTAGACTTCCAATAATTTTACCAGTTGCTCACCCAATTCCTGACTTTAGCTGGGGACAGCGTTCCACAACTGCAACATTGCAGAAAGCAAGCCGCCAGTCATGAGCTGGGGCGTCAAAATCGGAATTGAAACCAACCTACACCCATTTCTTTGGACACCAACCTCCCTGAAACCAAGGGAAACCAGGGGTCACCAGGGAAAAAAAACCAGGAAAAACACGGGGAAAAAACAAGGGACACAAGGGGAATCAAGGTGCCCTGTCAAAAGAACAAAAAGCAAAACAACAAGCACACATACACGCGCACACACACAGACACACGAACCCTTAACTGGGAGCGAATATCTCTCCCAGGACGGAGTCCTCGTCCAGGCCGCCATCGGGGCTGCGGCAGTAGTAGGGCTCCGGCAAAGGCTTCATGGCCAGGATCTCAGGCGCCAAATGGCTGTGGTTGTCAAAACCGTTTCAGTAGCATTTGGGGTAGGTGCACTGCCCATTTTAGTCCAGTGGGGATGGGGATGTTCACGGGGGGGGTTTTGACCCACAGCCAACGTGTGGGACCCCCGAAAGAATTGATTGGGAGCCTCAAATCGCCTGAGTTCTTTTGGCTTTCCCCCCAAAATGGCGTGTTTTTGGGCTTTCCTCTTGGTTTGTTCGGTCTGCAAAAGGAGCCAGAATTGCTGGACATCATTCAGCCGGTTGCCTATGAAAACTCACAGCCACATTTCATTTGTTTGCAGGCAACTTGGTTGTTTGTGCTCCTGTTTCATTGCTTGTTTGCTTAGAACTTTGCCTGGTGGAGACTCCAGGTAGTTGAACTCCCAACTGTGCCCACAGACCCTTCAAAAAATGCGGCTTGCGCACAGGGGATGCAAAAAAAAGGATCTGCACTCTGCTTACAGCACGGGAGCAAGGAGTCAGGATCAACCCGTAGTCTTTGCGAATTTGCTCTTTCAAATCAGATGGCCAACTGGGACCTATAAAAGGTTGGGACTATCCCTACCCTCCAATTCCCCCGGTTTGGATTCTGGCTCTGCTGTCGAACACGTCACCGCAGATACTCCCAACAAATGAGCCACGTCCTAAACGTGCCGTATCATTTTGCTATGTCCTATCAGTTTGCTTACGCCACTAGCTTACGCCACCTTACCCGCGTGGAGTTTCTCCAATGGCAAAGGACGGGGTCCCTGCCGCTTTGGGGTCGAGATCGTTTTTCTCGGAAGGGGTCAGTCGAAACACCCGGCGAAGGAGCACATCGATCGGACCCCATACGACGTCTAGACGGGGTCCCATTCGGTGACCCTCCAGAGACAAATATGCAGGGCTTCCTGTTGTTTGGAATACATAAACCACTGCTGGGTGAACGTCTGTTTGAGGCTTGGGACTCGGGGGGGTAACCTGAAAGTCGAACTCTGACTGTAGACACCCTCAAAACAGCGGCACCAAGTTCTCGCCACGTGGTCCTATTGTTTTGAACAACTCCAGCCAATTTCCACTTTGTTTTTGTTGTTTAAGTATTTTTCCGGCTGTTTTCTGAAGCATACAGGTACATGGCGCGCAAGGTCCGTGTTGATCCAAGCTGCCACCAGCGTGGCAAAGCAAAGGGACCAGCCTCAGACGGAGGATTGTCGCTTTGAGGGGAGGGCTTTCCCTTACACCAGAAGGTGCAGCATGTCAAAACCAATTTTCTATATCTTTGGGCGTCCCGAAAAATAAACCAGGTCTGCTTTAGACACATGCCCCACAGGAAACAACCATGTTGTTGCTGCAGACATTCGATGGACACCCTGACAAACAGGAAAACAAAGCGCCACTGGACGACAAGGTTCCCTCATAGGGGAGGAAAGCTCTTTGCGGGCGTGGCTGCAATGAAGCCGCATCACATCCCTGCTCTGGCTTTTTAGAGGGTACCCTTTCAGGGGATGCTTTAAAGGGAAACCAAGGGGATCCAAGGAGAGCAACCGAAGCCGTTTTGGGGTGTCCTCTCCAAAGCAAACCACTGGGTTTAAGTTTCGGATGGCGCAATGGAACCCTGACATGGTAAGATTGGGTTGATATGCAGCAACTTTTCCGCGCACCAACTGCAATCTCAAATATCTATCAGATTCTTGCTACTGTCCTCTACATTAGTTGAAGGGCTCGGACTTTCCATTTCTTTACCCCAGAAGTTGTTGAATATTGGGAGGCATCCACAAACCAACGATAGCCTCTGAACGGGTATGTCGATGAGGACAAGGGCTGCTTTTCCAAAAGTTCTGCAGGACAAAGAAAATAAGCCACCGATGTTCCCGCAACAAATCAACTATTCAGTCAGCTGTTCACGTGTATGTCAGCTCTTGCCCAACCAACATGTATTATTTACTGCGGTCCATATTGCACGAACCTGAGAATGTATAGAAACTCGAAAAGAGCTCCGAAATGAAACTTGGTTTAAAGAAGCTGTCCATTGCCCATAATCTCGGGAAGCCGCCAAAAATCGCCCTATATCAACCTGGCTTCCAAAAAACGTGAGGTGTTCCTACTTACATCGGACAGCCCCACCCCCATTAATAACCGAAGTCAACATTGCTGTAAGTGGAAACCCAAACTTGACCCTTGCAAACAAGACCGAGAGCAACATGGGATTTGACCTCTAGTCTGTAAGCATGGCGAGGCCTAGGTCAACAAATGCAAACCTTAAACCTCTGCACATGTGCAAGACACGAACCAACTGTGCTGGGTGAAGCTTGCGAACTTTTACAATGCAAATGTTCTGTACCCGTCAACTGGGCATAGAGGTGTAAGCTGGTCGTCGCACATCAGCACACATAGGTTTGTCAGGAAGTTTCCACAGCTGCAACATGAATGCCAATGTTTCTTTCTAATGTACCTCGGAAGTGATGGCGCAAACTCGATCGTATCCCCAATCATATCGGCCCACTGAATGCAAGTCGCTATTCCAATTGCAATTCAAAGTGTTTCTGAACAGCTCCTGTGGCACAACATGGCACAACGCTGCCTGGGAACAGATATCAGGGGCTGCAGGCTTACCGGCTTACCCGTTCAGTCTGTGCACTTCCATGTTGGCAAGAAGGTAACTTCTACCTAAAGGATGACCCACATGAAATACCGAGCGAGTTGTGTCATAGCGGCCCAGGACCATGTAGGGCTTGCGCCGGTAGCCCCGGATCCTTGGACGAGGTTAAAGGGAGGGGTTGCTGCGTTGCCCATTGCGCGCCCCGTTATATTTTTTCTTTTCGGGGGGAGACAAAAAGAAAGGCGGGTAGGGGGCGCTGTACCACGGCCAGTGAGTGACACTCCCAATCCGGCAGGCAATGGAAGTTGCTATGCGTGTGTGTGTGTGTGTGTGTCAACGAGGCACCTTTCTTTTTAGTGTCCTTTTAAATCAACCCAAAAAGAGAAAACCTTCCGACCAACTTAAATGTGAGGGCCTGGTGGCTTCCATGGAATCGTTCAGAAGATCTGACTCAATCGACCTGCCACAAATCAATTCGTGTAGCTCACGCAACAGGATCGGACAGTTCCAAAGGTGTTGCACAACCAAACACGCAAACAAACAAACAAACAAACAAACAAACAAACAAACAAACAAACAAACAAACAAACAAACAAACAAACAAACAAACAAACAAACAAACACACCAACAAAAACCAAAACACACAAACCTCCAAACAAACACCCACACACCCACACACACAAACAAACGACCACCCAAACACACAGACACGCAAAACACCACCCCAACACCCAAACACCTGAAGAAACACAAACAAACAAACACACAAGCAAAGAAAAGCAAAGCAAAGCGAAGCGAAGCGAAGCGAAGCGAAGCGAAACGAACAAACAAACAAACAAACAAACAAACGAACAAACAAACAAACAAACAAACAAACAAACACATAAGCACGCATGCACAACACATACATGCACAACACACACACACACAAGACGCAACAACAAACAAACACAAACAAACACTCAAAAACTACAAACGCTTGTTACAAGTCGTGGACACGTGCATGACATTCAATGTGGTCAGGCCGCCTGACAGTCTGACGTCTGACACGTTCGCCCTTGTCCAGCTGGCGTTACAGTATTTATAGCGAGTCGTTGGATGATTGTTCCGATCCTGGCCAGCAATCGCGCAAATCGTGTGGCATCGCGTGTTCGGATTCTGCGTCTCGGTGGTGAAGCCGTTGTACCCCGAGCTCAAGTCAAGGTGCAGCGCGGCGCGAATCAGGTCGAGCGATGCCTATTTGCACTGGCACGCGCTTCGCTGAAATACGATGTTCCAGCCGTCAGCGCTCGACGAAGAAATAGTAAATACAAATCCTTAAGTGGGAAGCCACCGAGTTTGTTTTATATGGCAAACTGTTCTGCAGATTGACATGCAACAACCACGCCACTGTGCCGCAAGGAATCTTCCTCGTTGAATCTTCGGGGCAAACGACTTGTCTTGACCCACCATTGGCGCATGTCCAGTGGATCCCCAGCACGCAGAAGGAAGCAACAGGGGGCCCTTGAGAGTTGGGAGCCCAGACAAACACCACAAAGGATGCCGCTGAAGAGCTAAAGCCCTACAATTAAGCCATGAAGAAGCGACAAACGCCAGACAAGCCCCACAAAACCGCTCCAAAAACACATCCGAGCTCGGTCACTCGATCGACCGATCTGCCGAGCAGCGGAAGGCAGTCATTCAGGAGGCCTTAGATGCTTCAGCTTCGAGGCACTACTTATCGTTGCTTGGCCACACACATCCCATCCTTGCAAAATGCTAAGGGAACCTGGTCTCCGGGAACCCCAACAAGAATGCCCGCAAAAACAGGCCCACTCCCGCCCCAGACCCACGCCCACCCACCCCCCGCCGACCACCCGACCACCACCCCCCCACCCCTCACCACCCACACCCCAAACCATGGCTTGCCATGGCTCTGATTCAGGCTGCCTCCATGCCAAATTCCTACTCCACCTAACTTTCACGCTGGACTCCCATTGCATGCTCAATTCCTTATGCCTTGCTCCGCGGCCGCTCAAGCAAACGCTGGGTGGGGGGGGGGGGCGGGGCGGGATTCGTGGGGTGTCATCTCCAGATCAGGCCCAGTGTGACGCTTCGCCTTGCTCGAATGAAGAAAGAATTTGGTGCTCCATCCCCAGCAGGGTGGAGTGGCAGTACGGGCTCGGGCATGGAATTGAAAGTTTTTGCCATTTATCGAGCCCTATCTCTTTCTCTCGAATGATTTTCTTGTATCTCGCTCTCTATATCTGTTTATCGTTTTTCGCTTTTTGCATCTCTACATCGCTAAAATTATATATGTCTCTATACCCACCACCCACACCCCCACCACCCACACCCCACACCCACCCTCACCACCCCACCCACCACCCACCCACCACCCACCCACCACCCCTTTTGATTCCTTCCGTCACATCTGCAGTCGGTCCCGTCGGGTTCCGAGGCGCCGAAGAGCACCTTGAAACTCCAGGGCATTGTGGTCACCACCTAAGTGGCGATCCAACAGTTGTGGGGGTTTATGCTCTGTTCACACCTTTAAAACTCATAGCTTATGAAGAATCTCCTGGGACGTTGGGTCCAAACACATGGTCCTAGTGACTAGGACCATGTGTTTGGACCCAACGTCCCAGGAGAGGTCCTAGTGGGTTTGGTCGAACATGTTGGGCCCATGTTTTGTTTGCAGAACATGTTGGGTGGTGCTTAAGCCTGGGTTAGTTGCTCATGAGGACTGTTGGACCGCCCGGAAAGCATGTCAATGTCAACATGTTGGTTATGTTGATTATGTTGATTCTGTAACCCTAAAGTCAGGAAAGACATATGTTCTAGAATCCTCATACACGTTGACCCAGAAAAAGACGCGCACACCCATGGGTTCCTCTTTGAAATGCGTCAAGCACCCCCTGGGTTTAAGTCATGTTGGAAGTAAGCTGAAACCTGGCCAACCCCATGACTTTTTTTTTAAAAGAGGATTCCCTTACAAGTATCACAAAAAGTGGTCCCAATATTATATTCCAGAATATTTCATTGGGGGTATCGTTCACAGGGAGGTCTTAGCAACACCCCCACATCACAATCAGAAGCTGGGAGCGCGGTCTCTGGTTTTGTAGTCGATTTGACAGCAGAGTTGATGGGGAGAATCCCCTACTGCCTGTGCATGTCCGGTGATCTTGGATATTCGACATGGCCACTTGAGTCACAGGGCAACCAAACACTTGGGAAACTGATGGCCAGCTGCCAATTCCTCAAATTAAGCTTTCTGTCCTGGAGTTGCAGGGAATCAAAGATGTCAGGTCTTTGCCTGAGGATTTGTGAAAACGCCTCGGGGGTCCATCGGGAGGGGCGTCCATCCCATACCTAGGAATGCCTGAGCGCAGTGGGAAGACCTCAAGAGGTCAAGCGGGTCAATTTTGCAAACAGATTTCGGGCCCCAAAATTGTTGTCATACTGTGGGCGGTTGTGACTGGATTTCGCACCACTTAATAAACCATGGTTCAAACCATATCGTTTGTTGGTATGTACAGGGAATCACATCATTCCCGGTTTGCTTAGGTGGTGCAGAATTCCGTCCTTCCACTGCATTGAGTTGGGCAGCCTCAGGCTTGTCTTTGGTCAGTGTATCTCGGCATCTGCTTTTCCTGGCCGCAAACCATTTTAGACTTGGCTTGCCTCAAGGAATGTGCACACCAGCGAACGACAAAAATATATCTTGGTTGCTCTTGACCCCTCTGCAACAAGTGTTTGACTTGTGGGTCCAGTACAAAAAAAAAAACAAGCGGTGTCAACCAAAACGATAAGTTCAAAGATCCCTTACTTCCATTTGGTTAAGACCCCTGGAAAAAATATGTCCAGTAGTGATAAGTTCCTTGTAAAACCAACAAGGAAAAATAAAAGAAATCTTCATTTCAGCAAATGGAAGGCTACCAAACAGCCGTGAAGATCTCAGGCACTAAGCGTCGGACACGCGAAAGCATTGGCCCGGTTTCGACCCATGTTGAACTACAGCCGCCGCATCCCGCGGCGGAGAAGACAGAGCTGGGGGTTCCTCAATATTCCATTCAGCCCATGACCAAGGCGAACTCTTTCCCGTGTGGGAATATCATGTTAGTGGTTGTCCAACTGAGGGTCATCCCATGTATCACGGACCGTTTCAACCCAGCCAACTGGAGGAGAATCTCAGCCCACGGCCGAAGCAGTGGCATAGACGTAGCCGGGGACATTCAGGTATCCTCGCCGACTTCTGAAAAGCCAAGGACCCTAAGACCACGACCGCTCCGAGTGGAACAACATGGGTGTGTTTTTTTGGAGGGTCCCACTTTCGGGTTGGGTTGAGAAACCAAAGCACAAATCACCTGTTTCCTGTTTGCGGGCTACATCTATTTTGATACCTATAGATGACGATCAGGGCTGAAGAGCGTGTTTTTACTTGTGCCAGAGATAGGGGCCGCAAGGTTAACACTAATTAGCAACGTAGTCCGAATTTGGAAGTTGAGTGGCTGAATCTCCCTGGCATTATCATGCCGCTGTGAAGATATGTTCTATACATTTCCATCAGCCTCCCACAGTCTCGCACATGTGCTGCTGCGGCTTGGCAATTCCAACCAAATTCAGGAAAACTGGCCGATCCAAACCACCAACTTGATACCTGAAATGAAGCAGTTTCCAATGCACAACCATCACGATGCCGAATTTCATCTGGGGCTCCTCGGGAAAGCAGACGGCAAACACAAACGATCAGACTGCTGATTTTGAGAAACACCCCGTTTGGGTTGTCGATCCCTGGGCAGACATCAGCAAGACATGCAACGTTGCGGCCGCCATTTGAAGCTGCTCCAATCGTTGAATGCGCTTGGGAGTATCCGGAACCTCCCCGCAACCGGAGCGAGGAACCTGCCTAAAGCCAGGGCCGTCTCAAACCCAGGAGTGGCGAATTCACCGTGCCCTTCGCTCTCCAAGCCACAAAACAGGCAGATCCATCCATCCCTTGCGCCTAGGAAGAAGCCGTAGATGGTGGCGGGCAATCCGCCATAGATCACCCCCACTGCGAAGTACCTCGCTGCAGTTCACTTGTGTCCAGTTTCATGGGGAGCAAGGCACACCTACTAACAACGCCTCACACCTCGTTGCGAATAGCTGCGGATGTGCCAACGTTACAATGCGATATGTGCATACATATATTAACATATTCACCTAGTTACTTGTGCATTCATCGATTCGTTTCTTTGTTCATGGTATTTCTTGTATGTATTGGCTCAAATATTGGTGTATGTATCAACTGACTTAGTTGATTATACTTGTTCTTCGGTCTACTGAGCCACATATGCACTTATCTATTCAATCATATTCTATAATATATATATATATATGGGTTTGTATTTTTTTAGGGTGGCCGGGCAGGAAGGTTTGAGTACGGGGTATGATTCGCAAGTATGATTCGCGGGTATGATTCGGGGTATGATTCGGGGGTATGATTCGCGGAAGAAGCAGCAGCAGCAGCAGCAGCAGCAGCAGCAGCAGTAGTAGTAGTAGTAGTAGCAGTTCGCAGAAGTAGTAGTACTAGTAGTAATATTGTAGTAGTAACATCAGTAGTAGTAGTAGTAGCAGTAGTAGTAGTAGTAGTAGTAGTAGTAGTAGTAGTAGTAGTAGTAGTAGTAGTAGTAGTAACAATAGTAGTAGTAGTAGTAGTAGTAGTAGTAGTAGTAGTAGTAGTAGTAGTAGTAGTAGTAGTAGTAGTAGTAACAATAGTAGTAGTAGTAGTAGTAGTAGTAGTAGTAGTAGTAGTAGTAGTAGTAGTAACAATAGTAGTAGTAGTAGTAGTAGTAGTAGTAGTAGTAGTAGTAACAGTAGAAGCAGCGACTGTAGTGGTGCGGAAGCTTTGAAAAGACTTGGCGCTGGCCTTGGCAAGGCCAGTTCATTGCGCGGGTATGATTCGGGTATGATTCGCGGGTATGATTCGGCTAGGTGCAAAACGGCAGTGGTAGTCGTAGTAGCAGTTGCAGAAGTAGTGGTAGCAGCTGTAGCATAAGCAGCAGCGGCTGTAGTGGTGCGGACGCTGTGAAAAAGACTTAGCACTAGCCTTGGCAGGGGAAGCTCATTGTCCGGGTATGATTCGGGTATGATTCGCGGGTATGATTCGGCTAGGTGCAAAACGGCACTGATTACTCACTCAGAATGATGTATGTGGTTGTAGTGAGTTGTTGCAGCAGCAGCAGCAGAAGCAGGAATAGTAGTAGTAGTAGTAGTAGTAGTAGTAGTAGTAGTAGTAGTAGTAGTAGTAGTAGTAGTAGTAGTAGTAGTAGTAGTAGTAGTAGTAGTAGTAGTAGTAGTAGTCAAGGTTGTAGTCGTAGTAGTAGTAGTAGTGGCAGTGGCAGTGGTAGTATTGGGTAGCGCTGGTGGTGGTTGTTGTGGAGACAGTGAACAACACAAAACGGTAGAAGAACAGTAGCATCTTGCAGCATACGTTTTAAGGGGTATGATTCGGGGGTATGATTCGGGGTATGATTCGGGGGTATGATTCGGGGGTATGATTCGGGAAGGTCCCACCTTCTGCCTTTTGAAGCAACTCAACACACCAAAAAAAGACAAACCCATATGTATATATTTATATTTATATACACGCCTGAACAGCCAGACCCCGGGAAATTGTCAGCAGTTTCAGGAGACCACCACAATTTACCGAATTCTCACCGTTTGGGTAATTAGGATCACACCCCAAACCCGTACGACTGCTTAGGTTTTCAGGTGTGACTTGACTCAAACCCGCGCGCCCGCGCGCACAAACACAGCCAACCATTTCCTGCAGCCATCCAATGTGTTGAAGAGAAACGCGATCTTCAAAAGTCCCCAGTGGCCAGGGCTTGCCATGAACATCCAGTTGCATTTGTGCACTGGATCTGGCAGGGACCTAGCTGCATTGTTTCATATTCGGCCAAAGAAGGGAAATATCGGGAGCCTGGTAGAAACAGGGACACCCAAAGTGTACCTCAGAGGAGCTGTGGTCCAACCAATTCATCGGGCACTGCAGCAGGAACCCGCTGTTGCGCAGCTCGTAGATGTCAACCTGCAAGCTGCGCGGTCAAAGGAGTGATTCATATTGAAGGAACTATGACAGCCGTGATGAGCCTTTTGGCTCATTCAGGGCCTGTATGCTGCCCACTTTGCGTAGTTGGGAGAAAATAGATGGCACAACTTCCTCATTGTCATCCCCTTTACTTGCCCAAATACACGAATTCGTGCAATCTACTTTGCCCTGGATGGTGATTCGTATCTGAATGTCACTGCCCATTCTGCAAGTTACAGTTGACAAGTCCTGTCACCTGCAATTTATCAAGCCTTGACCCATTCGCATGAAATCAAAGCGACTGCCACGGAAGGAGTTCCACAGAAAAACTGCAACACCGATAGGCTTGCCCTTTCAATTGCTGAGCTTGCCCTTGGGCATCTCAAACAATCAGGTGTTCCCAAACACCTAAAAGAACCTCAATGGTTGTTTCTCCTTAGGTTTCTGATGAAGAAGCATCCAAAAAGGAAAACCCTATTTTTGGGGGGAAACCACAATTGGTTGTATGCCTTTCATGAACTCTTGCCTGAGTTCGGCTCTGCGCATGTTGTCAGCCATGCGTTTTGCATCCAACCTGCCCTCTCCAGCCGCCGCATGCACTTTTTTCAACATGAAGCCAGTCTGGATGCCCAAGAATGAGGCTCAGGCTCAAAACTGGCCAGCGGCATCATTTCTATACAAAGCCTACAATTCGCTGGGTGCCAAGGTGCCTCAGCGCTGGGAAGCCTTGACCACATCCTTGAACTCAAGGAATGCCTTGTAGGCAGCCTTGGCGTCCTCAGCGCTCACCTTGGACATCATGTAAGGGCCCACATCCTTGCCCAGGCTGAACTTGTTGAAGGCGTTGTACACGTCCATGGTCTTGGAGGCCGGAACGGACGCAATCATGTGGCCAATGGCGGCGTTGGTGGCAGTGTAGTCCGCAAGGGTGGTTACGCCCTTGCCGTCAATGCTCTTGATGGCCTTGCTGTGGGCCAACACGCCAGCCTTCAGAGCCTCCGGGTCCATCGCAGCGCCCATGACCAACATCTTATCGATGGCCTTCAGAACCTCCAAAGGCTTGGCGGTGGGCAGCACTCCGTAGACGCCATCAGTCCAGTCGATCACCTGCACAGAACATATGTTGATCCTACGCAACAGGGCTAGAATGAAAGAAGGGCCTTTTTGAACTTGTTCAAGCATGCCTTGGGGCGCAAGTTCAAGTCAAACAATATGCCTTCTGAGACCGCGGCGTTCTCTTGACCTTATACTTAAGTTGTTCATGACTGCTGTAGACTTGAATTGACGCAGCTTAGAACCCAGCGTAGACACGGGAGACAACGGGTGGTTCGTTCAGCGCCAATGTTTTCTGTGGCCAAAATCGAGCCAGATTTGACCAACAGGCCAAGTCAAGATCGCTCATCAAAAAGGATCTGAAGTATCTCCTGCACAAGTACACTGGTGTGGGTCGGTCCCCAAAGGCATATATAGCTCTGTGTATTTAACTTTTGACTGAAGCAATAGGCTCAAACCAGGAAGCAGCAATGATGCATGGCAGTGGTTCTCCCAAAGTAGTCGTCTTCGTGACCGGAATAATGGTTTCCAAACATCTCAGTGCAGATATCCCAAGTACATGTTCCAGTTCAAGCAAGGGCCAAGCAAAGTCGTCAATGGGCACAAACTTGGACCTTGACATGGCCAAACAACCACAGCACTGCAGTTCGATGCCATCAGTCCTTCAAAAATGGGTAGCTCTTCTCACTGAGAGAACCTTGGCCGAGTCATCAATCTTGTCGGCATACGCAGGCGCAGTGCCCAGCATGGCCGCGGCGCCGGCAGCGGCAACAGGCCGGCCCGTGGCCACTTGCGGCGGCACGAATGCGCTCTGCCAGCCGCAGTAGGCTGCGGCCGCTGCAGCCAGAAGCATCGGCCGCTCGCCTTCGCCATTGCTGACACTGGCACCGGCCCTAGAAAGGCACCCGACCCGGTCAAAAAGCTGCGAGCAACACCAAGCAAGAAACCAAGTGGTCAACTACCATAGCGCTTGCATGTAATAACTGGTTCAGCATCGGCTTGCGCATGGTGTGCCTTTCATCGTTTGCACCCGTTGGTGGCCGGTGAGCGAGAACTTAAAACAGAGCGCTTGCTGTTGAAGCGGGTGCCAAACGTGATAGTCTTTAGTATACTCACTGCGTGACTGGATTTGTCCAGCAACCACACTGTGTGGGTCTTCCCGCAAACTGAACAATTGACATATCTTGTCCATGCATAAGCAAGCTTCAAAGCATCCATCACACCACCGTTTTGGTGTCCAGTGTAACATGAACATGAGCATGTCTGTCTCCTTTTCGGCGCCCCATGGCGTTTCCTTTGTTCGGCCTGCCCCCCTTGTCCCCGACGAGCCTCTTCGCCAAAGGCCAGCGCGCCCTTCACGGGCTCCGCCTGCGTTGGCCCGCAACGATCTCGGCGGCCCAAAGGTCTCCGATCTTGGCCGCCAGGTGAAATGTGAGCTTGGTGAAATGTGAAATGCACGGTTCAATTTAGTTCAAGTACGAGACACCTGGAAACGGGTCTGAACACTTGCGGCACGTCATGTTTTTGCTTGGTCTTTTTGTGCGTGGGGGGGGGGACTGGAACATTGGTTGTTTGGCACCCCGTTCACTCGTGCATAGGAACATCAACTGGAACACCCAATGAATTGGACCACGGATACAGCTGAGTCCATTCTTGAAGCATCATTAATCGGGCAAACTCATGGACCTCCCCTCCAGTGCGGTTCTTCCCCCCAGCTCCCTGAAAAATATGGCTGTTGCAAGTGCGAAGCCGGGATTCTTCTGGTCTGTACTGGCGGTTTGCAACCGCCTAATTTGTACTCAGATTCAGGCGCATGTGTGAACCTGCCTTGCTTGGAAAGGCTGGCGCTAGTCTCAAGAGAGTTCTGTGTTCCGTGCAAGCAGAACGGGTGGTTTCCCTTTTGCCTTCCGCCAGGGGCTTTCCCAAAGGACCTATGGCCCAGGCTTCCGACACGCCCATCAGGGGCATACAGACATGCCGGCACTGAGAGGAACGACTCAAGTTGACACATACGGTCAAAACTCTGGGCCAGGGGCATGTTACCCTCAGACACCTTATTGGTGATCCTAAAACCTAAGACAAATTGATGATCATCCGTACTAACCCCAAGTAAGCAGGTCTTTTGACCGTGGCACGAGTATGGGCTTCCATGTCCTGACGTAGATGTCATAAACACCAGCTTCTGCCCTGAACAAAAAGCTAATTGCTGAGATATAGGACCTTCCCAGCAACAACTCAAGGCTGTCTCTCCATAATGAAGTGGGTGCCTCCCTGAACCTTAGCATAGTAGCCAAAAGCGGTGTGTTCTCAGCCTCAACCAGACATGAACCAACCCCACAACAATAAAGACATTAGAACCAACAACTCTCTCTCTCTCTCTCTCGCTGATAGTCAACTTGGTGTCTGCTGTCAGAATCTGTACACCCCTTCTGGGCCTGCTCCAGAACAAGGGGTGCAAAAGTCATCGATCGTTCACAGCAGCTTCCTATGGTTGCTGGCTAACTGCTTTCACTAACCCGATCCACTTGCTGCAATTGGCATCAATTTGCGGCACATTTGTCCTTGGCATGCAATATTGGTGTTGACAGGCTGCAAATCTTGTGCATGTTGAAACAGCACATTCGGCCCATTCAACAAATCCAGAAGGCTGGAGTACACCCAACTCAGTCAGTGGAATATTCCGTCCCTGCGGAAGGGCGCTTTCCCCGGCTGCGCCCGGCCACCCTCGCGGCCGTGCACTTTCTTGTGGCATTCTCAAACTTACCTGCAGGATTCCTCTACATGGTTTGAACGGAGATCACCCCAAAAAGCAAGCAACTTGGGACGGTGCAGCGCCGCCTTCGCATCTTTCGCATCCTTGTCACCGGCCGCCACCTTGGCATTGATGTCGTCCTTGGGCCGGAAGACGCCCCTGACTCCGAAAGAATCGATTCACCTAGGGCCCAATAATTAGAATGGGTTTGCGGGGCACTTTGAAACCCGCTGAGTCATCTTTATAGAAGTAGACCACGTATTACCAATAATTTAGCCCCGTATATTGTCCTCATTCGGCAAAACAAGAAACATGTTCAAGAACATAGGGCCACTGACACTCCTGACATGCCAGACATCCACACCTTTGCATATATATATATATATACATGTTTGCAGCGTGCATGTATATATATATATGCATATATACATACTTGCAGCGCCTATGTACATGGGTGTATGTGTTACTGACTATGTATACAGCTGCACTTGGCTGTGTCCTCTTGTGCGGGAACCCGCAAAATAGTGGTTTTCTTTTGGTTTCCTTTCCACAGCACCAAGAAAGGAACCCTGAAACAACGCCACACTCGCTTCTTGCAATTTGGTTCATGCCAAACCTTGGAGAAATGCAGTGAGTCTGGCAATGAGATGTGCGTTTCAATCGTCGCCTACAAGTTACCATCATTCGTATGCCACCAAACACCAGGCACACTGTTGCAAAATATTGCAGCGTATCTTAAGCTAATTACCCACAAAACATGGTAAATAAGTGCAGGGCCTTTCCCCGTCCGGTTTCAAGCTTTAGGAATCAACTGTACACCCTACATTGGCAAGCACTGCGACTCCAGCATCCTCCACCTTAAAGTTGTCAGCACTGACAGCTCTACTCTTCCAGAAAGTGTTCCTCATTTCAAGCCCAGGCTTGTAGTCGCCCTGACAATTGGGACACTGTGGCTGGAAACTTGAACGTCATTTTGCCGGTGGGCGGGTCGTTGCAACGAGTTAGCGGCTGGTCCTACACCAACAGCCCACGAAACTAATCGGTCCGATTGGCGTTGAAAGAGGCCCGTGAAAATGTCGACATCCCGCTTGAGGGACAAGCTAACACAACTGCAACACGTTGCAATACTGCCGCTTCCCCTCCATTTCAGAACGCGTGATGGCCAAAGTAAACGTTTGCCCCAAAGGACGAACGCTGAAATTCGGGTTCGTCACAAGCGGGAAGCAAACTCTCAAAGCGAAGGTCACGTCCCCTTCCGCCCAGGCGCGGGGTCTGTCACTTTCTCGCCATCGATATCCACCTGCCCGGATTCCCCAAACCTCCGGAATCCAAAAAATGCCACAAGCACTGTGTGTGCGGCCTCACTCGTGGGAGTTCTCACAATAGATCCCTTTCTGATTACTATTTAAAGAGAAACCACAAGGAAACCAACCATTGGGACAAACGAAGCCACTTGAGTGGAGAAACCTCTTCGTTTTCGCCTCCTGACCCCCCAAAAAGCAAAGAAGCAGAGTTTGCATTGACAATATAATAGCCTAAACGCACAAAGCAGAGCTACAGGTCAAAAAAAATGTGCCTTCCTCTGCTGTTCTTTTGAGCCAACCCCTGAACTTTGCCCAGGTGATATTCTCGCGGGATCTTTCAGGAACCGAATCTCCGGAAGCCTCTGCCCCCCCTTCCCGAGCCTATGGGCCTATTGACCCCATGGCTTTCAGCGTTTGGGGAAACATAGCAATGTTTCCAGTAGTGATAGGCACCCGCCTATCACCAACAGGAAAGCATCAACTTGCCCAAGGACTTGGAACAAGAAGCTTCGCCTTTTGGGGCTATGACTAGTGGACCAAGATGGAGAACCAAGAGGTCAAAAGTTCGATTCGCTTTGGGCAACTGAGTGAACCACTAAAAAACAACACATGTCAAGAAAATGGACACCCCCCCCCTCGAAAACCACTGGGCCCCAAGTCTTGAGTCCGGCTCTTCGCACTCGGAACTGCCTTCCGGGTCTCCTCTACGATGCCGGTGAAGTCTACGCACTGTTCCTGGCAGTGCTGAGCCAACCGATGGAAACTCGAATTGAACAATGGGCCACAGCTGAGTCAAAATCAAAACCCAGTATTAAACTGGCCGACCCAGAACCATGTAAAGAATTAAGAAGGCGGCCGCAGCTATTTATGATTGCGATTGTCCCTTACTAACCTTCATCTACTCGGGTTTTGAATGTGGCTCAGTTGATGTTCATGTTTCAGAAACGATGAAGGTAAGTAAAGCAAAGTACGCCAAGCCGAGTGAAGCTTAATGATATGTATCGATTCCCTGATCTGACGAATTGGACCAGGAAGAAAGAAACCTTCTTCATGGGGTGATGTTGCACACCCCCTGGGTCAAGCCGCTGTACTCCGTCCGGATCGACCGGAAACCGGAACAACTTGTTTCTATAGCGAAGAGGCAGCCTGGTCTCTTTTCCTGATGTGTTGCACATGTTCGAACCATGCAATGATAATGTTAACTTCGGATTCCTCCATTTGCTTAAGACCCCCTGGACAAGCAAATCCCATACTATTTCCAAAAGTGACAGGTTCCCTTTAAAACCACCAACAGGGGGAAAAACACATATTCATTTCAGCAAATGGAAAGATTCATCCGCACCGCTCTCTTGGTCTTCAGCCTGCTAGCTTTCTGGCGACAAATGGGACCACCATCAAACCAAAATGGTGAAAAATAACCTCTTCTTGGTTGACGTTGGAAGGGGAGCAAAAATTGAAAAAATAGCAGTTAAGTGCTTGGATTTCAACCCCTAAACCACAATAAGCAAAAAAGTAAAATGTTTCCCAACAACAACCTTGCATATGTCAGGGTGGGCCAACTGCAAGCTGTTGCTGCGGTTTTATGTTTTTTCAAGCTGGCGCTGATTCGTTCGTTCGGTGGGCCAACATAACAACCGTGCTCCACGCTGACTAAGCCCCCAAAACCTTGGCGCAAGCCCACCTGTAAACCTGAAGATTGACTGGTGGAAATTTGTTGCCGACGCGGGGAATTGTTGAAAAGGGGAAGTGCCCTGTGATGCGCCAGGTAATCCCGTTCCGAACCAAAAAAGAGCACACCAACCTGCCAAGCTTTTATGACCCAAACGCACGCTGCGCAAATCTGGTTATATGAATCCAAAGAGAAACCTGCGCCAAGATTAGGGACCCATAAAATAGCATGGTATGTTCTTTGTTGGGGTTGTTCGCATGCAAAACGGCATTGGATGACTCAATGGTTCATTCGTCCATGGGACCTTTGGATACCTCCATGTTGGACTGGACGGATTCATTCGGATCATCAACACCTCCGGCCCCTTTGGAATATCCGGTGATTGGTGTTACCTGGGGTCGGGGGTCACTCTGCGGGGGGGCTTCGATCTCGCTTGCGAATGCATGGGATAATTGGTGCTACCAACGTGTGACCATGTGTCACCAATGTCATGTCATAGTCAACGGGATGTACCAGCAATTCTGCTCATCCATTGCATCCTCTGGAGATAGGATTCTGCGGATTTCTTAGGAACGCGGTTGCCCAATAATTGGGGGACTGTCCTGAAACTGGAGACCGATCTGCATGCTATTTATAACACATGTTTGGGATTTACAAAACCTGAGAGCCTTTCGGATTGTTGGCTTCCCTTTGGGAAATTCCCCAAGAACCGCGCGGATTTGCCTACCGACTTCGCTTGCCCGCCCGCCCGGATATTGAATGCCTGAACTGGAACCATGGCCCCAACCTGCGAGCGCAGGTCGCTGAGTGGATAGTTTCGAAATCCGTTTGCACCGCCGTTCAGAAACCATGATGGACACCATAACGCTTCTTGGTATTTACGTTGGGGAATAGATATCTGTCCAGGGTTTCTGAAAGGTTTCATCCATCCACTGTAGGTTCAGTATCTTAACATGTTGTAAATATGGGTAGTGTTACTGATTGAGAAAAGGAGTCGCCAATATGGGTGGTTTCCCTTTGGTTTCCGTTAAACAAAACATCCAACATGGGGGTGCCTTAAAAAAGACACACCCACATGGTTCACCTTTTGACCCCGTCCAATTCCCTGACGTGACTCAGTGACCCCATCCTGCCTGCAAGCCTCCCGAACGCTGAGGCTGTGAGC